GCTGAAAAACAATCACTACTTAGCAGTCAGATGTCTGTATGCACAAAGGCACAGATCCCTAAACAAGACCATATCTGCAGATGAAACTTTGTTTGTAGAAGCATTTTTTAAATTTGAACTAGCACCTCATGACTACACGTTATGTACGAGAAGCTGCAAAAGACACTGGCGCAAGTGGAATGTAAAAAACACGGTGACATGAATTTTTAAGTAAATATAATGGGCGATATATTGCGTCACCAAAAATTATTGAGGTCATGTACATATATTGTGCGATAAGTCGATATATTGATTATTGCGACATGCCTAATCTCAAATGAAGACTAGTTTAGTAACAACTACAGACGTCCAATAAAAGTATCTTACCGGTGAGTTTGGAGGTCTGTTTTGGCTGTTGCCGAACATGCCTTTAGGTGTCATTGGTCGTGGGAAGCAACTTGCCAACTTCTTTGCCTGTGGAAACATTATTTGTAACCAACAGTTTTACATTTTAGTAACATTTTGAGTTTATTAGACTGGTTTAAAGACACTCAGAACCAATTATTAAAATCTGGTCCTATAAAATAAGTTTTATTTTTTCCCAAATTCTTTTCTTATTTTTTTTTCCGGTTTCAATTTTACTGATTTAGTTTTAACGGTTAAATAAAATTTTTGTAATGAAAAAGCATATCTGATAAATTTAAATTCAGAAAAATTTAAGTTTAACAAAAAAAGTAAACTCTTTTACGACAATACAGCCCTATGAAAGGATTAATTTTTTTCATAAATTCAGTGTTGTCCGTTTTAAGTTTTCTGGATTTATGACTCGAAATATTAACCAATTAATTAATCTTTAAAAATTGTCAAAAGAAAAATTTTACAATTCCTTTTATATATATATAAATTCTACTGTATAATAGAAATATATGTCACATTTTCTTCAAGTTTTATTTTAAAGGGTTGTTGTGAAGAAATGACTCTCAGAGCAGCTCAATCAACCAAAACAACCAAACAATTAACTGGGATCAATAATTGATTAAAATATAATATAATATACATATATTCTTTTCTAAACGGGCTTTTGTTCTCTCGTACCTCAGGTGTGTCTGGACCTTGCAGTTGGGATCCAGGGCGTTTGGGAGCCAACGGGCTGCGTTTATTTTCTGAAGCACGTGAGCTTGTTTTTGTGAGCCGAGCGGCCCGGTGAGCAGCAGTGCTGGACCGGATCTGACCCGGCAACATGGTGGCGCGCTGGGGCTGGGAGTTCGCAGAGCTCTGGCTCGAACTTGGTGCAAGAGAGAAGCGGCGAGAGTTCAGGGACTCCAGGATCTGACCAGGCATCACGGATGCACGTCGGATCGTCTCATCCGGGTCACCCATTCGCAGGTCCTCGTCTGTTATGGTGAACGAGGGACCCAGACTGGGCTGTCGAGGCAAAACGATACAGTTTGATTCTGGTCTTATACAAGCAATGCAGCTAAAGCGAACTCTTCCAAGCTTACCCTGGATTCCAGCGGGTAGCTGCTCTTCAGGTGGGGCAGACAGGCTTTGTTTCGCGTCTGCAGTTCTGCGATGCGCATCCAGTCATCAGCAGCATGTTCTGGTTCATTCTCTGCTCCAATACAGAATGTACTGGTGGCTACACAACACACAAAATATGTGTTATAATATTATATAGTTATAATATTACTATATTACTATTATGAGGCTGTACAATTTGGGGGGGGAAAATCTAATTGTGATCACAATTAAAAAAATATTATATTATTATAATAATTATTATAAAATATGAAACAAGTATCATCACTATTGTAATATCTCACTGTAAAAAATGATTTAATAAAAATATATAAATATAAAAATAATATAATAATACTTTTATTTTACAGTATAGTAATTTTCCTGCAATTTTAAAATGCAACAAAACAGTTTTGTTGTGGATTATAGAGCTGCACAATTGGCCAAAAAAAATCTGTAATTATATATCAGTATTACTATAAAATAATAATATTTATTATGATTCAAAATATTAAAAGAAATATTACTATTCTCATATATAACTAAAATGTTAAAAATTTATTTAATAAAAATAATGTAATAATAAATCATTGTATTTTACAGTACACACTGATACACCAGATGTCCTAAAATAAACGAAAACTGAAATAAATATTATATAAAATAAAAAATCTAGAAAATATAAAAATCAAAACCAATTCGAAATAAGAACTATAATAGTATCTCGATACTAAAATGTCACTGGTAATCCACAGAGTAGCTATAAGCAACATTTCACCTCTTGGTGGACCAACGTTGTGCACGGTGCTTCTGCGGTATCCAGGCAGACTCTGAAAGGTGTCTGCTTTTGATAAAGTTGCGGCAGCACTTTCCTCCGAGAGGTCCATGGAGAATGGCCGTGAATGCTGAACTGCCAAGTTGGGCTGAGATCGGGCAGAGTGCAGACTAGAAAATGACTCCTCGCCTTCAGCACTTCCTGATCTCTTCTAAACAAGCAAGAGTAAAAGAACAAAAAACACTTTAGAAACTTTGCGACCCAGTACGAGAGAAAAAAAGAGACCCGACCAAGGAGCCATGAACAGAGGTAGTACTAGCCAAAGTGCATTTTAAGGCAAGTTCGTTTTCTAGGGATGTAACAACTCACGATGTGATACGATTCACGACACTGATTTCACAATATGATTTTCTCACAATTTTTTTAACATAATGAGATTTAAGACAAATTATGAATCAAAAGGTGTCCTTTTGATCATTTCTCAGACAAAACACGGCAGATTTCTTTGTGAAATTTAAATTGCATAATTTTGAAATCTGAAGCAAAAACTGAAAGGTCTGACTTTAACTTTGTGAAACTATACTACATAAAATAGCTGAACGAAACAAAAACAACAGACGGGCTGAATGAGACGCAAATTCATTCTCTGACAGCAGGTGGCGCTTATGGAACAGCTGCTATATAGGGCTGCACAATAAATCGAATTTCTAATCGCGATTACAATTATGGATGCCAAAATTAAGTAATCGTTCAAAGCGGCAATTAATCTTTCAAAGTAGAGACCTGCAGGACTCCCGCGGGACCCAACGCAACAGGGTGCGGCGCGGGACAACTTTTGATGGGCGAGTGCGGGCGGGAAGAGACTCGTGTGTGTGCGGGATGCGGGAGAATAAAATGATTCGCGGGACTCCCGCAAAATAGAAATTATCTAAATATAAAGTGTCTAAAACATATAAATTGTTATTTATCTGTTGTACAAAAGCAAAAAGAACAACTAATATTAACATTAAAATGATTGATATGCGCAAGCTAGGCATAGTTTCTATTTATAACATGTGTTTAAAGGGTAGGGCAATGTAGCCAATCACAGACTCAGCTGTTTTTTTTTCTAGAACGCAATGGCCAATCAGAGGTTATTAAGTTAGAATCTACTCACCACAGTGCTGAAAATGCGTGCTGACGAATCCTCTCATTTTAACACATGAAGTGTAGACATTGTGAAAGATTCATTGTGCATACATTTATTGTGTTATAACAGAGCTTTATGAGATAGAGATTAACTGAGATGTCAGCTTTTAGTGATAATAAAGGAAGCGCTGCTCGCATTCTGCCATGCCAAACCATGCACGCAGCAGCCCATGCTTGCTTTTCTGTTAAAAATAACAGTGGTTTGTTAATGTTGATGCTTAGCCTAGATAACAAATATTTTATCGGGAGTGTTAATGCTGGGATGTTGTGGAGCTTAGGAGATGTTACAGAACCATTTCATGTAAATTTCTTCGATGTACTGAAAAAGTCTATATAGATTACTTTTATGCAGGCTTTTGTGGGCGGGAGCGGGACAAAACATGAATGTCGCGGGCGGGAGCGGGACCAGATAAGATATATTTCTGCGGGAGCAGGCGGGTGTGGGACAGAATCTTGCGGGAGCGGGACTGAAAAATCCGTCCGCGAGCGGGATCAGATAAGATATATTTCTGCGGGAGCAGGCGGGTGTGGGACAGAATCTTGCGGGAGCGGGACAAAACATGAATGTTGCTGGCGGGAGCGGGACCAGATAAGATATATTTCTGCGGGAGCGGG